TGAACCTACATTCCCCCTTTGTTAGAGTCTGTAAACAAGTCAGGATGGCGCCTGGCATTTTGCCAGGGGAATGTTAGAGTTTGTAAACAAGTCTGGATGGCGCCTGGCATATTGCCAGAGGGAGTGGTTTGTGAAGTAACACCAGCGAGCCATTAAGTGTGGAGATTTCTTATTGGTTGACTGATGTATCTGGTTTATGCTAATTAAGATAAGCTGTGTGGAATGTATAAATACCTCTGTTGTCCTACAATAAACGGCTCCCACTCCTGCTGTATCAATCTACACAAGTTATTCGTCATCCCCCGGTTATTTTGCTGGCACCCCTTCAACTTATTTATCTTACTATCAACTTCCATCTAAGTTTCCTAAGTTAGAAAATTACAAATTCCCTTCTCCTTCTTCTACTTTCCATTCATAATCACACCCAAGTGTTATTTATTCCATCTCACTATTTCTGGAATCTACTTCTTTTTCTCTTCCTATCCTCTCCACCTCTAAATTGTTTTTCCTACCTATAACTCATTTTCTACACTGGAACCCAACATCCTGCTTAAAAATTCTCCCTTACTGGGCTGGAGTATAGCTTAGGTGGTAGGGAACCTGTCTAGCATGTGAGATGGGCCCTGGGTTTAATTCCTAGCACTGCAGGAAAAGGATAAGAGGAAAAACCCTTCACTGTCTCTCTGGTTAAAACCAAAAACTTAGGTTATGTAAGTTCTTCAACAGCTGTCCTCACCTTCTTTGGTATCATATCTTCTTGACTCTAAATTATAGCTGTTCTGGCTGTCGTGATGCTTTTTGTGACCTTACTCTTCAGTTTTAGTCATGCAAGATTTTCCACCTTGTCTTTCCCCAAGCCCGTTTAACCCACAACCCTTAGCTCACATTTTCTATTTTCAAAAGCTCTGACCCTTTGGGCTAGGGTTGTAGCTTAGTGGTTGAGCACTTGCCTCGCAGGAGTGAGGCATTGAGTTCGATGCTCAGCAACACATAAAATAAATTAAAAAACAAAGATTAAAAAAAAAAAAAAAAAAGCTCTGGTCAGTCCCTCCCCTCCCTCCAGGCTAGTTGCCCCTCTGTAGGACTTTTTATACCACTTACCAAAAACAGATTGCAACTGCCTGTTAGGTTACCTAAGTTTTTTCTTGCCATTTATATCCCCAGTCTATGTTATAGAACAGGCTGGAGTAAATGTGGAATGAATGAGTGAATGAAAAAAATTCTAGTCAGATCCCAGGACCAACTGGGTGACTTCAAAAATCACCTGGTCAACCTCTGTAAAGTTATTTGTAGATTCTTAGCTCTTTAGTTTCTTTTGCAAATCAAAACTACTCTAAGATGTCATCTCACTCCAGTCAGAATGGCTGCTATTATGAAGACAAACAACAATAAATATTGGCGAGAAGGTGGGGGGAAAGATACATTCATACATTGCTGGTGGGACTGCAAATTGGTGCAGCCAATATGGAAAGCAGTATGGAGATTCCTTGGAAAACTGGGAATGGAACCACCATTTGACCCAGCTATCCCTCTCCTTGGTCTATACCTCAAAGACTTAAAAACAGCATACTACAGGAACACAGCCACATCAATGTTTACAGCAGCACAATTCACAATAGCTAAACTGTGGAGCCAACCTAGATGCCCTTCAGTGGATGAATGGATAAAAAAAAGTGTGGCATATATACACAATGGAATTTTACTCAGCAATAAAAGAGAATAAAATCATGGCATTTGCAGGTAAATGCATGGTGTTGGAGAAGATAATGTTAAGTGAAGTTAGCCAATCCCAAAAAACCAAATACGGAATGTTTTCTCTAATATAAAGAGGCCGACTCATAATGGGGGGGAGGGGGAGATGGGAGGAATAGATGAATTCTAGATAGGGCAGAGGGGTGGGAGGGAAAAGGAGGGGGCAGAGGGTTAGCAAGGATGGTGGAATGTGATAGACATATCCAAAATACATGTATGAAGACACGAATTGGTGTCAACATACTTTACATACAACCAGAGATATGAAAAATTGTACTGTATATGTGTAATAAGAATTGTAATGCATTTCTCTATCATTTATTTTAAAAAATCAATAAAAAAATAAAGATAACACATCTGGTTATCCTGCTTTCTTCCCCTGAAGTATCAATACCAAGCAAAGAAAGGGTACTTGCAAAGACAATTGGGAGGTGTAAAAGTCAACTTGAATTGCCAACTTGATTGGATTAAGAGATTACAATGATTAAGAGGATTATCGGTGTGCCAATGGGGTGTGTCTAAATATGATTGGCATGTGGGATAGCCAACTGAAATGGAGACTCTCCCTAAACATGGGCAGCACTGACCAATAGGATGATGGCTTGGATGGAATAAAAATCAGAACAAAGCAGCAGCAGCAGATGCAAGCTAGATTCTTCTTGAATGGGTTCTTGAATACTGCTGTGGTGGTCTGAGGATATGGAATTCTCACTTCTTCACTCTTCCAAAGCGGACTCTGATAGTGATTCTCCAGAAGGCTTAGGTCTCAGACCAGTGGTAGCATGGTTGATCCCTCTTTTTCTTGGGCTTCAGCCTCTTGGACTGTGCAGCTACTGGTTCTCCCAGCTCTCCAGCCTGCAGACAGCCATTGTGGATTACCCAGTTCCTGGTCGTGTAAGCCAACCTACTAAGCCCCTTTTTATGATTATACTTCCTGTTCATTCTGTTCCTCTAGAGAACCCTAATACAGGAAGAAAGCCTGAGAATTTAACTACAGTTCAATTTATGAGCTTTGTAAGGGAAAACTGTGTAAAACTTGGAATTCTTCCCACTGGTTAGGGTAGAGTATGGGGCAAAAGCTTTATAAAATTTTTAAGCTTTTAGAAGCAAGTTCTATATTTTGATAACAATCTTAAGAATTTCACAAAATATATAATCTATAGCAAACACAGTCCAAAGAGTTTTCTACACCTTTTAGGACTGTACTGTATGTAGGTTGTTTCTAAATTATGTTGCTGAATGTAGAGCATATCCTTGAAATATACAGATTTAACATTTTTTGTAGGGTTTCACAAGTACCTGATCAGTGTAATAATTTATAATTTTCATGACTCATAATTTTGAATCGTAACCAAGAAAGGAAGACCCCAGGGTTCACATCACAACACATAATCACATTTAAGTTCTCAAGGAGGGATCATTAAATATTTTGTTTGCCTCGTGTGGAAAATTGTATCTCACAGTGATATTCAAGTTTGCAGGATGTAGTTCTCACAAGGTTAAGCATCTACTGCAGTGGTTTTTAGCTTATGAGAAACCTTTACTGAAATTTAACATCCAATCCTGCAATAAAAGTTAGGCAAATTGAGAAGGCAGGTAGCCTTTCCAAGAACCAGGCAAGAAAAAATATTCCCTAACAACATAGCTAATTTTGTGGACAGGAGAGCATTGAAAAACCCAGGGTCCTGAAGGCTAAATTCCAAGGATGCTCTTTTCTTCAGATGGAGTCTTAAAAGAAACCGTACTATCTTCATTAATAAGTTTCTGAAAAGAGACATGTGCATTTCATCATGATGTGATGTCTATAATCTGGGAAGAAAGCTCTTAATTTGAGCTGCCTTCTGCCGCAGTCTGGCTGGGTACAATTCAGGAGCCACTTGTCAAAAGAAACGAACTTTATTTTTAGAACACACACACCAAACCACACAGCTCTTCAGGAATTCCCTCAGAGCCCAACTGCCACTACCGGCTTCCCACAAGCCTCTCCACCTCCCCCCACTCCTGCTCTTGAGGCCCATTGGCTGGGTTGCATGGGCAGAGCCAAAAAAAGTCCCCCAATGAGCAGCTCCATGGTCTGAAAGGGCGGGGAAACAGCCCAATGAGCATCACTGCAGTAGAGCCAATCAGTTGGCAGCTAGAAGTTTGCTGGGGCCGCTGTGAGCCAATCATCAGCTGGCAGCTGGAAGTTTGCTGGGGCCCCTTCGGCTGTGGCTCTCAACAGCCTTCCAATCCAGTTTCTCTCAAGAGCACAGGGTTGTACAGGTCACAAACCTGCACTAAGCACACCCTCCTTTGAATTTTAACACTGCAACTAACCAATCAGCTATATGGCTTGAAGAAATTTGCTTAAATTAGTGCCTTTCTACATCTTAAAACTATTTGTGGCCAGGCATAGCGGTGTATGCCTATAATCCCAACAGTTTGGAAGGCTGAAGCAGGAGTATCATGAGTTCAAAACCAGCCTCAGCAATTCAGCAAGTGAGGACCTAAGCAACTTGGCAAGACCCTGCCTCAAAATAAAATATAGAAAGGGCTGGGGATATAGTTCAGTGGTTAAGTGCCTCTGGGTTCAATCCCTGCCCCCTCCCCCCCAAAAAAAGACAAAAACTGTAATCCTGGGAATATTCAGGTCCCCATATAGGCAGATGCTCAGTGAGCATGAGGTCTCCTTTCAAGGTAGTTCTCTAGGCCCCTAGGTTACTTTGCCCATCTCCCCATCTGAACATGAACTTTAGAGAGAATGTGAATGTCATCACTTTTCTGAGGTCTTCAAATCAAAACTCACAAAGCAGAATTTGAATCCCTATATGAAATGGCTAAGAATCTGAGAATCTAACTGGGGAAGAGAAATTAAATTCATCAGGAAATTTTTTATTTTTTGAGGCAAAGTAGGTCCAGAATAAAAAACACTAGCAATGAATCCCTTCACCAAGTCAGGACGCTCCTAAATATATCACATTGGAGGGCTATTAAAACTGCTTTTCTGCCCATGGACCCTCCAAAGTGGTGCTTAATAGTTGAAATGTTTTTTTGTTTTTAAACGAAGACCAGGGCTCCAGGGCTCCAGGGTTCCCAGGTTCCCAAGCAGGACAAATCACCATCAACCAGTTCTCCCACTGTCCACCTCCAATTCCTGACTCATAGGAGCAGAAGCAAATCAGACAAACAATATGGCTTTTAAAAAAATTATTTAATTTAGTACTTTTTTTTGGAAAAAAAAGCAATAAGGCAAAAAAACTGAAAATATATATAGTTTTGTTTCATTTTCATGTGACTTTATTCCACCTGAAGGACTCTAAGCTGCTTCCATTAGCAGAAATCTAGGGATCAATTCAGAAATGTAGTGCAGATGGTAAAGGAGGAAAAGGGGGATAAAGCAGGAAGTTCAATTTAGCTGGGGAATTCACACTCTATCCAAAGCCCCAGATGAAGTTCCTGCTTCCATGGGCCTCCTTGGAAGAAACCCCGGCATAACCTCTGGCTTGTGCTGGGAAAAGCATTCTTAGAAAGGAGGACACTCCTCCAGCGGTCAGTCACTCCTCTCTCATGTCTATCACAGCAAGGAGGGATGGTGGGGAAGGATTAAAGTACTAATTAATTTACCCATAAAATCCAATTTCCCGGAGGGATGGCTTCCTCTGGAATGATATTTCCCCCCAGGACCCACACTGGCTGAGGCTCAGCAGTTAAGGAACAAAAACAAAAAACACTAACAAAAAGCATACAAGGAAGGCACCTCAATTTGTGATCCTCAACCAAGGGTGGGTTCCCCAGGGGAGATTTCTGAACAAGACAACTGAAACAAATATAGAACATACAATAAGAAGGAAGCCAGGTCCCAACAGGCTCAGTTCTCTGATCCACCCCATTTTGACAGTGCTTTTAGCCCACATCCCTAGGAAGAAAGTTCTTTTGGGATTTAGCCTACGTGCTGGACAGAGGCAGGAGTAAATAGGAAATTACCCTCCTGATTTTCTACCCATACTCTTCCTAACAAAAGACAGAAAAGAGGCAGGAAAGAGATTAGGATTTCATTTTCAAGAGTCGGGTAATTAGGAGAGCAGAGTTCAGACTGCAGTGGGCACGCCAAGATACAAACCATGGACAGAGTCCCTGTTCTGTAACTGCTAGACGTGATCCTTCCTGCTCAGGTTTCAAATCTGCCTCTAGAAGATGGAAGTAAAGGAGTGCTAATACACACCAGCTCATGTCCAAGAGAGTCCCAGGGAGACAAGTGATATTAAAAACCAAGATTCTTAATGGGAAGGAGGAAAGTCAAACAAAAAATTAGATTTTTCTCTACATATATATAATATACAGATATTTAACACATTATTCCAGAGGTGGCTCCAGTCCATGGGGCTTGAGAGATGGTGAAAACTTTTGTTCCAGATTAACTTCTCTCAAATTCTGAAGTTTATCAGAAGGGGACAGGCAATGTTTTGCTCCAGACTGGGGCACAGGCCCAAATTGGTATTATGCCAGGAGAGAGAAGCTAGAAAGGCATGAAGGATGGGGGCGAGGAGGAACCGGGAAGGTAGAAGTGGCTAGCAGTCTTTTTCCATCCTGCCTGTGTTCTCAGAAGTTCTCTGCCTGAGGAAGTCCGTAAAACCCCTTTGTGAGGATAATGCGACTCTTTTAACAACCACCACATGGCCTCCAGTTGCTGCCAAAGAAGATGGAGAACAGCAGACAGGTGTTTCACGTGAGTGAAGATAGAAACTTCCAAGAATGTAACTGAATATTCCAGCCCTACAGAACAATCACTCTTGCAGGTGTTTTAATACCTCAGTTATCTATGCACGATGCCCCATTAAACCAACGCTGTATGAACACCTTTCACAATGTTAGACCTAAGCTCCACTGCAATCACTCTCGATGTCTCTGCTGGTTAAGTCTTATGTGTGTTTCTTTTTAAAGGAACTTTAAAATCAGTTCTTGCCTGAACAGCACCAAAATGCTCATGAATCACAATTTTACGCAGATCTTGGCTGAGCAGGATACTACATGGGGAGGGTGAATGACATCACCTTAAATGGGGCAGAGGGAGGAAGAAGAGCCAAGAATACTTGACTTTGTAGAAGTGGAATAACACTAACTTTCAGCCACTAAACCTCTCCCTTACAAGGTATCTAGTACATCGATTTCAGCATCAATCAGCTAAGGCAACCAGCCAATCACCACCACTGGTGTCTGCTTCTGGTGATTGATTTGGAAAAAATGATTGGTTAAGACAGACAAACTTGAGGAAAGCACTTGGTAAGAGTCACAACTGCCAGCTTTCCTGCACATCCTCTGTCCTCTTCTCTATTTGATCCGCTTCCTTTGTGTTACTGGTGCTTCAAAAAATGTCTGGGCATGAGTTCCAGTCCTGCTTTTCTTTGCACTCCCAATATTCACCCCTATAAATATGGGTTAACTCCTTGGTCACAGGGTCCTTCTTCCGCTCAAACCACAGTGCCTTATAAGGATCATATGGCGTGCCTAAAAGAAAGAAAAGCACAAATTGAGCTGACACTCTCTATGCATCAAGAAATGTAAGTAGAAGGCAAGTTCATTACCATCTTCTGTGGCTTTCATAGCTTCTGCTTCTCTCTTTTTTCGGGAAAGTCTTTGTTTTTCCTCCAGGCGCTGCTTTTCAGCATTGGCTTCATCCCAGCGCCCATTTTCCATCAGTCTCTGGTCAGGCCGTAACCGGCTGTCTGTGGGTGCAGTGCCACCTTCCCACGCATTGAGAGTCAGAGCCAGCTCTGAAAAGTAGTACATATTTTCTGCATTCTTCCTAAGGGTAAAGAATGAGAGAAAGGAAGGGTAACGCCAGAGCCCAGAACTTAGTGAAGGAGCAGAAAGGCTGATCCACAAATGGAAAAAATCTAGCACCATATCAGGAACCCCTAATGAAGAGAGCCAAACTGGATCATTCCTGTCCTCACCCCCCACCCCCAGCATCACTCAATTCAATAGTCATCTGGGATTACACTGCTCTCAGTTAAAATGATCTACATTTGTTAGGAAGAATGAAATATTCTACTTAATGAAATTCCTCATTTCCATTCCTTTGTTTCCCTTTTAACCTCTTTCTGGGATAATCTTGGCTGTTACTATAGACTGAATGGATTAGATGGTGATAGGAGACAAATGGCCTCCACCTTGTTCCAAAGTCCTGTGCACTGTCTTAGGGATTTTTATATTGCTCCTGCATTTTAGGCTAAATTGTTAATAGGTAGTAAGCACCTTTCTCCTCTAGCTGCTCCTACATAGTCTGCTCTAAATTGTAGAAAATATCCTTGTGAATTGCATTCCAATGGCTCTTTGGGAAGGCCAAACATTTTTTCACAGATGTGATTTGGTTAGTTAGAACTTTCTTGGGACAAGGCATGCTGTAACTCAAATCACATAGTGAAGGCAGGCAGAAATACCTTCAGTACTGCTTCACAGTCAAGGCTAAAGTGGTACTTGGGCAGCTTGCACACTAATACTCACGGTAAAGGATTCCTTTTCCACAGCATGACCCTGCTTTCCTCTGCTTCATGGACTCTCTGGCGAGCATCACCCCCATTTTCCCCAACAGCCGGCTGTATTTTGAAACAATCCATTTTCTCATCCCAAGTCCCCACAAGGGCAAAATGAACTTTTCCCGATGGATCTGTCACTTCCCCTGTCACCTGCAAGGGTGGAGAGCAGGGCTTTGGAATAGAGTATTCACTGTGAGGTAGCTTAACTGACTAATCCAGAAACCAAAGTCAGAGGGAAATACTGGTTAAGTCCTGGTATAACAAACATGATGGAGTCATCCAGATTACTTTGTTATATTATTTTTGAAATAACTGAGCCATGGCTTAGGGTTTCATTATCACTTTATAGAGGGATTTCTGATGCAATCATAAGTAGAAAAAGTATCTGACTAGTGGTCAGAATTATATTTTGGAGAAAATAGAGACAATCACAAATAAATCCCCAGCTACTGTTCATTCTCTCACAAAAACTCACAGCACAATCTCTCCATGGTGTTAACACAAAATTCCCCCTAAAACTCTCAAGGGTCAAACTGTCCACACTCTCTTCCTATAATTCTTTTATTAGTCCCTCCTTTGTGTTTCCATTCTGAGTCTCTCTTCGATCTTGACTTTTACTTCCTCACCGGTCTGAGAAGAAATTGGTTCATCAATGAAACATAGTCCCTTTTCCTGCTTTATCCTTTATCTCTAGTTATTTATTTATTTATTCATTCATTCATTTATTTTTGTAGCTGTAGATGGACAGTATGCCTTTATTTTATTTATTTTTATTTGGTGCTAAGGTTTGAACCCAGTGCCTCACACATTAGCTAGGCAAGTGCTTGGCCACTGAGCTATAGCCCCAGCCCTCTACTTTTTTTGAATCACCATTTTTAACACACACACACACACACACACACACACACACACATAGACACCACACCAGCTCCACAGGAATAGGCTCTCTAAGTAAAAAAAAAATTGAATTCCACTTTCCCTTACCTTTCTTGCTACATCCCGAGAGAAGTAGCTATAAGGAACAAATTTAAGATTACACTTGTCTCCCGTCTTGTGATTTATAATGTCAATTTCACCAGACTGTAAAATGAAAAGAATCATGAATTAGTTAAATAACGACTGGATAACTTGAATATCTGCCAAACCCCTTATCTCATAATTCTTTATTCTTTCTTTTGTGGTACTGGGTTAAGATTAAACCCAGGGCCTCAGACATGCTAGACGAGTTCTCCACCACTGAGCTATATCCCTACCCATAATTAGTTCATCAGCTAATTATTTTTGCAGTGCCAGGGATCAAACCCAGGGCCTCATGTCTGCCAGGCAAGCACTCTACCATTAAGCCACAACTCCAGATCTCTCTATTCTTCAGTCTTAAATTCTAACACTTCTTTGCTTAAAATTCAGTTCTAAGCCAAACTTGGTGATGTTATGGAATCCCTTTGTAGCCTTGGTAATTCCAGATTGGGATCAAGACCAAGTGACGATTTGTTTTGTTTTGTGTGTTACATGTTAGGTATCATAATTTGACCTTCTGCACACACACTGAAATTCACATAAAATTTATCTTTCCAAACCAATTCTTCCTTCACTTCCTTCACTTTGCAAGCTTTTCAGCTTAAATCAAAGAGCTCTAGGGGCTGGGGATGTGGCTCAAGCAGTAGCGCGCTCGCCTGGCAGGGGCCAGGTTCGATCCTCAGCACCACATACAAACAAAGATGTTGTGTCTGCCAAAAACTAAAAAATAAATATTAAAAATTCTCTCTCCTCTCTCTCTCTAAAAAAAAAAAAAAAAAAAGCAAGCGCTCTACTTTTTTTTTTTTTTCTACTTAGTTTTAAGGTTATATATATGGCAGGCTTTTCTACACTTTATTTAATTTTTCCCTTCTTTCTATCTTTTAGAAAGAGTCATCTTAATTCTTATATGTACAATGAAGCCCCTGCACCCTGTTTTTTTTTTTTTTTTGCTACTAGGGATTGAACTAAGGGCATTTAAACATTGAGCCACATCCCCAGCCTATTTTATTACTTTTTATTTTTAGACAGGTGTTGCTAAGTCACTTAGAGCCTCACTAAGTTGCTGAGGATGGCTTTGAACTTGTAATCTTCCTGCTTCAGACTCCCAAGTAACTGGGTTTACAGGTGTGCACTACCACACTCAGAAAGTGAAGCCCTTCTTGACTGCTCAGAAGATAGTATTTCTTCTTTTCTGATTTACTACAACCACTGTTCTAAGAACAAACTAACAATTAATTAAATATTATCTTAGTACGCCTCTTGTACTAGTGTTTTGTTTTGTTTTGTTTTTACAGTGCCGAGAAGCATTCTACCCGAGTACATCCCCTTCACCCTTTTATATCTTATTTTGAGACTGCTCCTCACTAATTTGCCAAGGTCAGCCTCAAACTTACAATCCTCCCGCCTTAGCCTCCTGAGTAGCTGGGATTGCAGGCATGTACCCCAGAATCCGACTTGTACTTGTGTTATTCTGTTGCATATTTTTCAATCTATACTTTGTCACATATCTTCAGTGATGCAGTAACTCCTAGAGGATCATCTCATCTGACTTTGTAACCCCAGTACCTAGCATACTGCTTGGCAATAAATATTTCATAAATAAAGGAAGGACTAAAAGTGTTTATTATGTTTATTATTTTCTTGTATCCTTCATAGTCCCCAACATAGTTCTAGTCATCATTAATGAGTATTAAAACACATGTAATCTCAGTCGCTTGAAGGCTAAGGCAGGAGGATTCAATGTTTGAGGCTAGTCTCAGCAACTTAGCAAGGCCCTAAACAACTTACCGAATCCCTATCTCAAAATAAAAAACAAAAAGGGCTGGGGATGTGGTGCAGAGGTTAAGCACCCCTTGATTCAATCTCCAGTACCAGGAGAGAAAAAGAAACAACAATAACTAAACACTGCAGAGATAAACCTAAATAAGTGTTGTTCTATACTTCAGAAGTATTCTGGGTACCTTTGCTCACCTGATCTATCCACAGCTTGCCCACAATAATGTTGTGCACTGTTGTAGTAACTTTTTTCCAAGTGTAGTGATGCCCAGTTGCATGGAAAATACAGTGGATGGTACCTACAGGAAAGAAGTACATAAATTAAGCCAAATATTAGAAAAACAACACCATGTAGACTAGAAATAATAATAGATGGACGTCTTTCTATTGATATGGTTTACTTTAAAAAGAGAACAATTAATCAAAAAAGGACTTGTAACCTTCTTAAATGTTGGAAGCATTGATTGAAATGAACTTTTTCACTTGATTTTTAAATATATGATAAAATGTAAGTGATGACAAACACTGACAACAAATACATCTTAGCTAGGGAGCTACATTTTGCAGTACCAACTGCAAAATTTACAGGAACAAGTCAAATACGCCATAATGTGACCAAAAAAAAAAAAAAGAAAGAAAAAAAAAAAAAAGAGGATTTTACTATGGGAAAATTGCATTGGTTGTCAGTATTGGGGGCCAGGCTCTGATTCAAGTCTGGCTGTGGACCTTAAATGAACCATTTATCTAAGGGCCTGAATATTAAAAGTGGAGGAGTAGATACAGCAGGACTTTGGAATTAGAACTGAATTCAGTCCTGGCTCTACTACTCATTATTCCTGGGAAGGAATCTTTCAACCCCTGTAACTTCTTAAAGGATGGGAGTGAACATGATTGTTTATGTAAACATGATAGTTTATGCTAATGAGGTGATTCATGCTGGCCCCCACACAGCTAATGCTAATGAGATAACTCTGATGAGGGCAAGCCAGGCCAGGAAGATCAACCAAGTGATTAGGGAGTTGGGGTCTTAAGTCATCTGTTATCAACCCAACTTCCTGACCTCCCCCTGTAACCACTAATGAAAACAACATGTTAATTGTGGTTTAGGCAAGCCCTTTTTTTGTACAAAAGATTCAAGTAGCCTTGGTAGTTGGCCAGTGAGGATGACAACAGCATCATGAGAATGAAACAGCAGCAACCCTGCTGACAGCATAGCCACTCTGTGCTATACTCTCCTCATACATTATCTCATTTAGCCTCCACCATATTGGCTCTACTTATATATGTCCAAAATCTCTAGATCATTCCCTCACTCTATGATGCCCCTATTATCCTGATACCAAAGTCAGACAAAGATATCACAAGAAAAGAAAAACAATGTCCCTTATGAAAAATGATGCAAAATCCTCAACAAAATACTAGGAAACCAAATTTAGCAGCATATTAAAATGATTACATGCCATGACCAAGGGGAATTTATTCCTGGAACGCAAGGATGGCTCAACACATGAAAATCAGTCAATATAATAGCATCACATTAACAGAATGAAAGGAAAAGAATCTAGATGGTAATCTCAATTGATGCAGAAAAAGCATTTGACAAACTTCCAACACTTTCTATGATTAAAAACATTCAAAAAACTAGGAATGAAACAAAAGTACCTCAATATAACAAAAGCCAAATACGAAACCCCCAGGAAAAATAGCATATCCAATGGAAAAACACTGAAAGATTTTCCTTTGATTAGGAACAAAGCAAAGACATCTGCTTTCACCACTTCTACTCAACATACCAGTTGTTCTAGCCAAAGCACTTACATAGGAAAAAGAAATAAAAGGCAAAGTGGAGAGGAAGAGGTAAATTATCTCCTTTAACAAATGATATGATCTCATATATAGAAATAGTTACTAAGATTCCACAAACGCACACAAAATAACTGTTTGAAATAGTAAATAATTTAGCAAAGAAAAAGGTTACACAGTAAACACATGCAAATCAATTGTATTTCTTTTTTGTTTATATATATATATATATATATATATATATATATATATATATATATGTTATAGATGGACACAATAACTTTATTTATTTATATTTATGTGGTGCTGAGGAACAAACCCAGGGCCTCACACATGCTAGGTGAGCACTCTTACCACAGAGCCACAACCCTGGCCCATCAATTGCATTTCTATATACTAACAATGAATAATATCAAAGACTCTTATGGACTCAATTATAATAGCATCAAAAAATAAAATACTTAGGAATTAATCAATGAAGTAAAAACTACAAAACATTGCTCAAAAAAATTAAAGACGACAAACAAATGGAAGCACATTCCATAATCATAGCTTGGAAGACTTAATATTGTTAAGATGTCAACACTATTCAATGTAATCTACAGATTCAATACAATCCCTATAAAAATATATAATATATATACATTTATATATATAATATATAATATATATGTGTGTGTGTGTGTGTGTGTGTGTGTGTGTGTCCCCATCCTGGGGATTGAATTCAGTGGCACTTTACTACTGGTTACAACCCCAAACATTTTTATTTTTTATTTTGAGACAGGATCTTTCTAAATTGCCATGGCTGGTCTAGAACAGTATCCTGAGTCACTGGGACAGGAATGCACCACCATGCCTGGCTCTAAAAACATATCCTAAACTTCAAATGGAATCTCAAGGGATCCTGAATAGCTAAACTAATCTTAACAAAGAGGAAAAAAAAAAAAAAGAAAAAAGCTGGAAAACTCATATTTCCTGTCTTTGAACTTATTGCAAAGCTACCATAATCAAAACTGTGTAGTACTGGCATAAAGAGAGACAAATAAACCTGTGGAACAGAATTAAAGAAAGCCCAGAAATAAACCTTTGTGTATTCACTCAAATAATTTTTGACTAGGATATCAATATCATTGAAAGGGGGAAAGAATAATCTTTTTAACAAATAGTCCTGGGAAAAATCTAGATATCCAATGTGCTAAAGAATGAAGTTGAACTTTTTCTTAATAATAAATAAATACTTTAAATATATAGATAAATATATATTTTATACACACATGCACACACACACATACTTGAAATGGATCAAAAGCCTACATGTAAGACCTCAAACTATAAAACTCAGAATAAAACAGAGGGCAAAAGCTTCATGGCATTGGATAGGCAATAATTTCTTGAATGACACTAAAGACACAAGCAACAATAAAACACACAGACAAAAATGAACTTGCTAAATTTTTTCAAACAATGTGTGCCGGGGCTGGGGTTGTGGCTCAGCGGTAGAGCACTCGCCTCGCACGTGCAAGACCCTGGGTTCAATCCTCAGCACCACATAAAAATAAATAAGTGAAATAAAGGTATTTTGTACAACTACAACTAAAAAATATAAATAAAAAATGTTGTGCATCAGAGGATATCAACTAAAGAGAAGCCACAGTATGCAAAAAAATATTTACAAATCATACTTCTGATACAGAATTTGTATTCAGAATAGAGAGAACTTCTAAACCCCCCCCCAAAAAATTAACAACTCAATTAAAAAATGGGCAAAGAAAACAATTTTTTTTAAAAAATGGGCAAAAGACTTAAATAGACATTTCTCCAAAACACACAAATGGTTAGTCAGCACATGAAAAGGTACTCAACATCTCTATTAAACCAAACCACAATACAACCAGAGAAATGAAAAGTTGTGCTGCAATTGTGTACAATGAATCAAAATACATTATGATGTCATATATACCAATTAAAATTAAAAAAAAAATGAACTGCAGTTTACATAAAGTTTAATATTTCTATATATCTTTTACTATGAACATATGCAATATATAGGCATGCTGGAGATACTGTTTTATTACTTAGTGTTTCTCTTTTAAATTTGTATCAAAAGCATTTACATATTTGCCAGGCTAACAAGAATAAAAACAACCTGAAATCTATAGAGTGAAGAAAAAGAAAAAACTAAACCACAGTGAGATACCACCTTACACCCATTAGGATGACTAATATGAAATAAATAACTGGTGGCAAGGTTATGGAGTAATTGGCATGAGTGTACACTATTGATGGGAATTTAAAATGGTATTGTAACTATAAAAATAGAATTGACATTTGATCCAGCAATTCTACTTTTAAGAATGTAATCCAAAGATTGAAAGCAGGATCTCAAAGTGATATTTATGTACCTATGTTCATAGCAGCATTATTTATTTATAATTCTTTTTTTAAAAATATTTTTTATTTTTTAGTTTTAGGTGGACACAATATCTTATTTTATTTTTACGTGGTTCTGAGAATCGAACCCAGTGCCGCACACATGCTAGGCGAGCGCGCTACCACTTGAGCCACATCCCCAGCCCAGCAGCATTATTTATAATAGCCAAAACCCAAGTAAGTGTTCCCCAACAGATTCAAGTATTAAAAAAATGTGATCTATATGTACAATTGAATATTAAGCTTTAAAAAGGAAAGAAATTCTGCCATTTGCTATATTACAGATGTACCCTGAAGATATTATGCGAATAAATAAGTCACAAAAAGACAAATACTATATAATTCCATTTATATGAGAATGGTCAAAATCATAGAAATGGAAAATATAATAGTGTTTTCCAGGGTCTAGGGGGAGGAAGAATGGGTAGTTACTGTCTAATGGGTATACAGTCTTACTATTTAATGGGTATACAGTCTTAGTTTTACAAAATAAAGAGTCCTGGAGTTGGATGGTAGTGATGGATAGACAACATTAAGAATATATTTAATGACACCGAACTGTACAGTTAAAATGGTTAAGATACCAAATTTTATTTAATGTGTATTACCCTGCAAGAAAAAAAACTGAGGAGTGGTAGGGGTGGGAGGAGAAACTACAGAGACCACAAGGCAGTGGAATGAAATATTGAAAGCTGAAAAGGAATTAATTCTATGTCTAGTAAAACTATCCTACATAGACAGAAGAGAACTTAAGAAGTTCCCAGATCAACAAAACCTGCAGGAGTTCATAACTAGCAGATCTGTCTTACAAGAAATACTATAAGAAGTCCTTTACACTAAAATGAAAGGATACTAACTTAAATCTACATTAAGAAATGAAAGACCAGGGCTGGGGTTGTAGCTCAGTGGTACAGCATTTTCTTTGCATGGGTGAGACACTGGATTGATCCTCAGCACCACATAAAAATAAATAAATAAAATAAAGATATTGTATCCATCTACAACTGAGAAAAAGAAATAAAAGACCAGTAAAGGTAACTACAGTTAAACTATATAAAAGATAGTATAAGGGTAGTTTTTACTTGCAACTGCTTTTTTCTTTCTCCTATGAGATTTAAAGGCATAAAGAAACATAAAACTATTATAAAACTACACTGATAAGATTAAAATGTATAAAAATTATTATCTGTATGAAAATAAGAGCACAAAGTTAAGGAAAGGTAATGGATCTCTATAGGTGAAAAGATTTTGCATATCATTCTAACAGTGTATATATACTAGGATTCCTATTCCTAGGACTTTTTCTTTTCTTTTTTTTGATTGGGGGAGGGATGAGGGATGGGGGTACTAGGGATTGAACTCAGGGCACTCTACTACTGAGGTACATCTCTAACACTTTAAAAATTTTATTTTAAGACAAAGTCTCAGTAAGTTTGGCCCAGAACTTGTGATCCTCCTTTCTCAGCCTCCTGAGTAGCTGGGATTACAACTGTGTGCCACCAGGCCTGACCTGAACTTTCGGATCTTGACACAAAATTAACTTGTCATTCAGTAAGATTTTTTTTAAAAATAAAGTTTCACCTTACTTGGAATTTAGTGATTACATAACTGATACCTAATTCATCAGGTAGAGAAAGAGAGGGGGTGGAAGGAGAGAAGAAAGGGGAGAGGCTAGCCAAGAAACCTAACCTTGTGATCATAAGGGTCCTGATTTTTAGAGAGAACTGGATTGCTAGAGTAATCAGGGAAACAACACAGTTAAGCGATAGAATTTTTTTTTTTAAAGTCATGTTAGAATTTATGTTCTAAAATTGTGCTAAAGATGCGTTCAATATGGTTAAGAAGACAAAGAATTTATGTAGAGCTGGGTCCTTAAAGAGATTCTGGCCTTCTCACTTATTTGATAGCAAAGAGCAAAGAAGGTAAATAACCTGACTAAAGCTAGTTAGTGAAATTTGGTGTCTGAATCAGAGATTCTTCTGTCTGCTGATGACCTCCTTCATCATGCCAGAAAAACTTTTATTCCTAAAGCATTAATTCTTATAAAGATGCGGCCTTACCGAGGGGCATAATGGAGAGGTATTTGCCTCGAAACTTGCTGGTGATTTTGATTTCCTGACGCAGTGTCCAGCCATTTTTGGACTCCGCATGGTGTGCAGCAGCTGGGGGATGATGACTCACCTTAAAGAAATGAGGTTCAAATTAGCAAGGCAGAAAGAAGGAAAAGATATGGCTTAGTAATTGGTGATAAACACACAAAATTCATCCTTGATATTTTTATACCCACAATAGTAAGTGAATACCAGGGCTTCAGTGTTTAATTTTGAAGGAAAAGAAGGGTAAGATGACAGGGACTGACATTTCTACAAACAGCACGCAGGGGTTCAAAGAATCATCCTTTTCTTCAGAAGGAAATGTGTCAAGGTGCTGAGGCTCCTGACCTGTTCACAGAGGGATCGGTACCCATTTTCCTCTAGTCGGTCCAGCTCAAAGGTCTCCCCAAGGAGTGGGTTGAATGGCTTGCTGGTACGGAAGACAGTAGTGGAGTAGGAGGACACGGTAAAAGCTGCAACATAACAGAGCTGTTCTAGAGAGTTCTCACATTTTGCAGCTCGGTCTAACAGCTCATGGTATTCCAGATCTTCAGTAAGGCGCTGAAGCATGGACAAGGGCTCATTAAAGTTCACCTGTAAGGAAAAGAACACATATAAAAACCTTGTCCAGACATTTTTAAGAGAGTTACATTTTTTTGCAGGGGATAAACTGATCCTGAGATGTTGAGGTGATAAGACAAATAATGAAAAGAAAAAAGACTTAACCCAAAGGCAACCCATTTTCCTTGGTATCTGCTCATGTCAGAGAGCAGCAGAAATCATCATTTTCATCCATTTCACTAACAGTAAGCTTTTGGAGATGGAAACCTTGCCTCTTCTGTCCATTACTACCTAACCAAAAGCCATCAGTACATGGACATAGGAGACCAATAACAAATTTAAGTTTTGAATGAATGAATTTTTTTTAATATTTTTTTTTAGTTGTTGATAGACCTTTATTTATACGTGGTACTGAGAATCAAACCCAGTGCCTCACACATGCCAGGCAAGTGTGCTACCACTGAGCCACAGCCTAGCCCCTGAATGAATGAATTTTAAAATATACTAAGTTGTAGCACAAATATAACCAAAGAGGAAGTCAGATATTTAAAGTTCTTGAGGGAGAAAAGAAAAGGTATTCAAATATAGGCACTTCCAGACTATTGAAAAGATCGCATTACAAAAGTTAGCTTCTACCCTGGACTAGACAATTGCTAAGTCTCAGTTCAATTCTACATCAGGCCAGGACAGACTACTTCTGAGGCCAGACAGCTGTATTTTTAGATGTAAAGTGCTTATGATGGTGCCTGATAAAGATGACTGATAAAGACCTAATCCTCAGCAATCTTTCAGAAAAATTCCATAGATTAATAACCATGCCAACAAAATCTCTCAGTGGCAAAATTTCAGGCAACATGAAGCAACATTTCCATATTTTGGGGGAAAAGAGTGTACTCCTCTGGTGGCTACTAGACACATCCACTGTGCCCGGGACTAGAATCAGTTCATCCTAAGTCTATCACTGCTTTCCATGCACACATGACCCTGCTTTCCAACAACTGTTCCAGGAACCACAGTTGCTCTAAAAGTGCTAAATTGTTTATAATGATCATTTTATCACTCTGAGGTCAAATAGGAAAACTAATGAATCTGAGAGTTTGAAATGAAAGAAAGAAGGGAGTTGATTATATAGCCAGCAGGCAGCTAGAGAAGACAATCCTGAGATGAGCAACACCAGGAAGCCATAATGAAGGAACAGAAAAAAGCAGTGTTATTACTAAAGCCAGAGGCCAAGGGGAACTGGCAGTGGCTAAAACCTTGAGGGGGGCTGAGGAGACCTGTCCAGATGCTGCCAGAAAACTGCCTAAAAGGAGAGAAATACCCTCTTCCAAGCTCTCATCTCCTGGTATTTTGCCCTAGTAGAGTCCAGCCAGACTCCAGCAGACACAAGACACAGAAGCTTGAAAAACAGCCTCAGATGATCAGCTTTCCTGTGACCCAGTATAGGGCAGGGGAAGGGTGAGCACTTGATTTGCAGGCCAACAGGTACAGAACTGCACATTCCTAGTGGCAAAGTCAATAAGGAACTAAGGGTAAAGGTGAATAGAGAGGTCACCTAGACCTAGAATTGTTTTTAAGCAGAAGTGCACTTCTCAGACCATGACAAACTGTCTTTCCAGCCCACCTGCCCACTACTTCTAGACACCTAATGTTCCAGGCAAGCGGGGTTTCTCTTCAGGTCCCCAAAACACCCATTATCTCAGTTTCTCCAATGTGCGTGCTTACTCAGGGCCTTTTCTTTTCTTTTCTAAGCCTTTTCTTTTTTTCCCAATGCTGGGAATCAAACCAGGGCTTCACTCTACCTCTGAGTTATATATCCTCGACTGTAGTTGATAAATACATTTTTAAATCATACAGACTTACAAATAAACTATTTGCTTTTCAAGATTTGTTGATTAATTAGTTCAACAATTTGTTGAATGATCTGTATATGCCAGGCTCTGGACTAAGCATTAAAGATATAGAGTCCAATTAGACATAGTTTCTCTCCATAGGAACATAGTATATGAAGAGACAGAAATCATACACTGTTCTCTGCACCCAGAGAGGTAGAGAGAATACTTTCTGTAATTCTGTCTGCCAAGTTTTTGGCCCTCTGTACCCCCAAGTCTTCATTTCTAGCCTTTTCTATAGCTAACTATGGTCATATAGCTAAGTCCTGGCCACAGAGATTTAAGAGATTAATGGATTATGCAATTTCCAGGAAACAACCCTTAAAAGGGTTGACTGGAATGTGATCCCGATGGTTCAAACTGGAGAGGCCACTATGAACCTAAGAACTAAGACCACAGACACAGAGAAACAGGAGAGAAAGCAGTCTGGTCCTGACACCATGGAGTATGATACTAGAACTGGACCATTTGCTTCTGGACTTTAACACAAATGAGTGAGGCCAATATTTGTTTAAGACAGGAGTTGCCAGCTTTTTCTGTAAAGAGCTAGATAGTAAATAGTTAGGCTTTCCGGGATACGTGGTCTCTGTCACAACTACTCAATGCTGCTTTGCAGCATGAAAGCAGCCACAGATAAGACATAAATGAATATCTTTGTGTTCCAGTAAAACTTTATGGACACAAACACTATGGACAATTAGTCTCCTTTTTATTTATTTTTTTCCAACCATTTAAAAATATAAAAGCTATGTTTGGCTTGTGGACAACATAGATAGCAGCCAGATTTGGCCCACAGACCCTAGCTTGTTGACCCCCTAATTTAAACCAATACATTTGGATTTACTGCTTTAAATTGATTATTCCCAGCTGTTATACTAGTACAATACCAGGCAAATAGAAGACACTTAGTAAATGATTGTTGAATGAATAAGTAAGAGAAACACATGGCCCAGACACAATCGGTGGAACCTGTTGGGACACAGGAGAGAAGACAGATCTCTCCTGACTGGATGCACTGGAGGTTTACTGAAAGAGATGTCATTATACTGAAATCCAAAGGAAAGAGTTTTAGCCACAGCAAAAGAAAACTACCAAGGGTTGGTGGAAAATTCAAAGTTCAGGCAGAAAGATCAGTGTGTATAAATGCTCTGAGGAATAAACAAGATAACTCTGAGTATCTGAGGCTAATCTGATGACTATACCATCACACATATATGATGACCTTGCCCCTGGGGAAGAAGTGGTGAGTCCAATAAAGAATCTGAACTATGTCCAGAGCAATAAAGATCCAGGATTTTAAATTGAAGACTAACACAACCATGCTTGCAGTTTAAAAAAAAATCACTTTGGCAATAGTGGACAGACTGGAAAAATGAATGATCACTGACAGGGAGGTCATTAAAAACCCCATCTTCACCAATAATTTTCACCTTCCTGGTTGGAATGGTTTTTGCTTCTATGCTCCCTAAACCTTTGTATATATAGTATTTCCCATTACACTATGATAAAAAATAAAATAATATCATTTTTAACCTGTTTTCATGTCTCTTTTAAATTATGTGGTTCTTAAAAACAGAAATAAGGCTGTATTTATTTTTGCATGCCCCCAAGCACAGAGCATAGGAATTTGCTCATAAAAGTTACTGAATGTGTGCATCTGGTTCTAGGTGATCTGGGAACATACCAGATTCAGAGCCAAAACTCAGCCAGCTAATTTAAAGGAACAGTTTATGACTATAAGGGTAACAAAGGCTATGCTCAAAACTGCCACACGTTTGGGAGGGGAGGGCTGTCACATCAGCATTCTTTTGCCTGAGGCTGAGAGGACCTACTGGCAGCAGTTAGGATGTGCAAGGACCTCACCGGCATGGGGATCTTGGAGAGTTCTTTTCCAATGCAGTTCTTCATGATGCTCCATAAGTTGAGGCTATAGTTTGGCTTGTATGGTATTCTAGTTCTCTTTTCCTTCTTCGTCTCTTCCAGCTGATGCTTGTACTGAGAGCAAGAACAAAGCCATTCAATCATCCACAAAGAACAGAAAATCTGCTATTGCTAATCTTCCCTTCCCCCATACTTAAAATAAAAAAAAAATCAGGATTTTTCTTTCTTTCTTAGCACTTTACAAACAAATCCATGGGACTCATAGCCCAAATCCTTCACCTTTGATGCCCTCCACATAGGAGTTACCTGTTCATCAAGGCTAATGTCACTGCTGGCCCCACTGATATTGCTGCCAGTGCGTCTGCATAGAGGGGAACACAGGAGATTTAGAACAAAGAGCACAACTAGAGTTTGGGCCTCAATTTTTTTTTTTTTTACAAAGCAGAATGTCAAGTATGCTGCACAAACTTATTGATGGCTAATCAAAAGGTGTAAATAGATATGACTGTAAATGCCTCTGGAGAACTCATCATGTAAAAAGCTGACAGTTTTCCACTTACTTAAAGAAAAGAGCCCAGATTTTACTAAATGTCGACAACTATAACATTCCCACATTGAACAATGTTTCTAACCTCTTGATGATCAGGTATGACAGTAAAGGATAACTTACTTGTGGCCCAAATTCTCAGGCATGGTGATGATCTCTGGTGCATCAAAAAATTCATTCTCATCATCTTCATCACTCATGTCTCCTTTCCCAGAGCAGCACTGATCTACGAGGAGAAGGCCTTCTTTGTTTTCTCTGGTTATATTTATCAAATGCCTGGTACCGCAGTTCTTCTCAGTACCAACCACAAACATAGCAACAAATGGTAAAGTAGTGGAAAAGCCAGAAGAAATGAACAGCTCCAAAGCCACTTCAGATAAGTCATTAATTGTGGAGAATTTGGAGCTCTTCTATCAATTGCAGAAAATCACCTGGCTCAAATCTGAACAGGCTATGCAAGAACAAAGCGTCTTACCTTTACCAGATCCTGCGCTGCCAGGAGTGTTTGCAGGCAGCACTGTGGCTCCCCGGAAGGCCCTCTCCAGGTGGTTGTGCTGCTTTGCCAGCTGCTCAAGGGTTTCTTCCAGTCGGATACGCTGGTCTCTTTCATACTGCAGTGACTTCTGCCACTTTTTACTGTGGGTCTGGGCTAACATGAGGAAATCTCTGCAGGCCTGTGCGGAGAAAGCACTAGATTGTGTCACCTCAACTAGTCAGGTTCCCCTCTGGCCTCTGTAGGCCCATTAAGAAACCTCATTCTGGGAACTTCAGCAGAAAAATGAGAAAGACTTTCCCTGTATTCCACAGTATCAGGGACAGCTAGCTCATGCTACAATCAAGGTCAAAAAAGAGTGAAAATGGTTGTCATGGTTCTCTTACATTTTCCTGGTCATTAGGACTAAACAAATGCCAAGTGAGCAGTAAACCTAGACAAAGTATTTGTGGCAATATCACAAAGGGCAGGTATGTGAACTACACCAAAAGAGAATTATAGACTGAGCAAGAAGAGAAAATACACAGAATAACTACTTTCAGTAATTTTTTTTTTTTGGGGGGGGGCAGTTCTTGGATTGAACCCAGTAGTGCTTAACTAGTGAGCCACATCCCTAGCACTTTTTATTTTGAGAGAGGGTCTTGCTAAGTTGCTAAGGCTGGCCTCAAACTTGCAATCCTCTTGCCTCGGCCTCCTGAGTTGCTGGAATTACAGGCATGTACCACAATTCCCAGCCCAGTTCAATAAATTATTGACTAAACTCAAGTAACCTAAAGCAGAGGAAGTTAGACACTGAGAACCGAAAATCTGTACTGAATTAGACTAAATACCAGGCAACATAATTTGCTTTTATTTTGGTCACTGAGAGAAACAACTGACATTAAAAATTATAGACCTACTTGAGGAATCAAAGAAGGATTCTAAAGAAAAAATAGAAATATGCTCATATCAGTCCCTCCACTGGCTGACCACTATGAGTGAAACCAGATACCAATTAGTGGTTATAAATACTAGGCATCCTTCACAGGACGGCCCCCACCTGCCTTGTCGCCTTCTCTCAGGTAGATATGCTACACTCCACAATACAGCCATGCTGAGCTGCTTATCATTTCTTGGACAGAGTTCTTTCAGGCCTGCCTGCCTCAGCATATGCTATCCACCCTGCCTAAAATGCTCTTTCCTAGCCCCTCTCTAAGATAGGAGAAATCCTGATTTCTCAAAACCTGGTACAAATGTTAATTCTGTGACAGCTTCCCCCCTAGTCTCAAAGGTAGTCAGTCTCTTTTTTACATTTGCTTGGTGCTTTGCACATACTTCTATTTTACACATTCATGGCAGAATCGTGACTGATTTTCCCTCTCCAGATGGATCAGGAGCAACTTAAAGACACATTTTATAGCTTATTCATATACAGATCTTAAGTTCATAACTTAGTTGTTTTGTACACAGTGAGAGCCTGATAAAGTCTGCTTAATAAGTCAATGAAAGAATACAGATAAGTAAAGGAAGGAGGAAGCAAAGTAAGCTTAAGAGTCAGAGAAACTTAAATAGAATGTCTACTCCCATGGTTTCAACTATTGCCTGCAGGTCAATGGTTACTAAGTCAGTGAAGCCAAATCCCACACTCACTGAGTTTTAGAGAAGAATCTAGGTGTCTATTCAATGCCTCAAAGTAACCTCAGAATCAGTGGATCCCAAACTGAACTCACTGCACTCCTCTGCTGACTCTGTTTCTCCCTTTGGTGTTCTCCATCCCAAGAACAATTCCAGGGCCCTCTCAGCTGTCCAAGCCAGGAACCTAAGGGGAACCTCTTTTAGTTTTGCTTCCTTCCTCATATCTAATTATCAAGTATTATTGATTATTCTTCAATATTTTGAATCCATACTTCTTTCTATTGTCTATATCAGAAGCAGTAAAGAGTATACTTTTGGAGTTGGGCTGTTGGGGCTCAAATCACAGCTCCATCCTACTATTTGGCTGTGTAATTTGAGGCACACTTCTCTGCCCCTTATCTTATCTTAAAGAATTAAAAATATTAAAATATTAACTACCTCAAAGAGTTGGTGCTTTACATGTAAAACATTTAGAACTACACGGGGCTCACAGTAAACACTCAAAAAAGGTGCCAGCTATTAATTATGGCTACATCAAAACTCCTCTCATTCTCTTCTTACCCAATCTACCAAGCCCACTTAGCAGGATCTGCACCTCCTCTTACCTCCTCTCCCCTCTCACCTCCAGCTACTTCCTTGCCAGCAGTTCCCAGACCGTGGAGAAGGAGGGCTCCACACATGCCATACCTCTACCCCAATCAACTCTTCTTTGTTCCCTTTTAGTAATACTGATCATGATTAAAATTTACCAGAGACATATTTCAGTACTCTGCTGAGCATTTCACATTAATTACATAATAAAAGCCTTTCAACAACCCTGTGAAGAGTCTACTAGCATCAAAGCCATTTAAGGATAAAGAATTGAAGTCTCAGAGAATAAGGTTGCCCAGGGTTATACAGAAGGTAGAGGAGGTGGTTGAAACCCAGGCCAAGCTCTATGTTGCCCTTCTTCCCAGAAAGACAGTCATTGCTCCTTCAGAATTTAGCTGAGATGCTATCTTCTCTAATCCTCTGGTCTGAGCTAAACGCCATAGCAGTCTAGACATGCTCATTCTATCATATCATGATCCACTCAAATCTCTGTCCTCTCACTAGAAAGTAATCTCTTTGAGGGTAGAGACCACATGTGTCCCAGGGATATCCCCTAGCACAGTGTATGGACCATAGCAGGTACTCATTTAGCAAATGGATATATTAACAGTGTCTTCTGTTAGATTCACTTTGGTGGTAAGAAAGGCAATATCCTAAGCTGTCAAGAAATTGAGTAAAATGTACTCTTCCTTCAATATAACTGTTCATTTAGAGCTGTCATGCATTAGCATGTTAATTTTTAATGTGCCTATTACACCTAAGACCTTGCTATTATATTAGCACCAGAAAGGTACAAAGAAAACAACATATCAAAATAGAAAAAAAAAAAAAAAAAAAGAAAAGAAAAAGAAAAAACCCTAATACAAAAAAATAGTGTGGTCACCTGACATTGATAAAAAGTAGCTTTCACTCTCTGCAGTGTCATGACCAGAAGACTAAACACACAGTAACTAGGAAGTCAACAGTTTGGAAAAAGAGCAAACTAGACATCAGAAGCACAAGCAACAGTTCTAGCTTGCTGAGTGGTCCTAGGAGATGGGTAATCTTCCTGCAACCCCTAACTGAAAAAAAAAAAAAGAATTTGGGTTCTCTGTACCTTATGAGAATCAAAACACTGAAGAGTGTTCAACACTTCAGAGCATTCAACAATTCAGAGCATGATGCTAAAGTAACTTGGTGGTTACTTTCCACCAACTAAATTTTCCCTTGGTCATAGGAAAAGGACTTTGATCTTTTAAGAGTCTTCAGTGAACTAAACTAGCTTTAAGCAAATGTCTTACTATCCTCACCTAAATAAGAGAAAATCTGGCACTAGTGAGGTAATTTCATCCCATTTAATTAGGGTGAAAAAAAAAAAAAAAGCCAGCAAAAAACCCTTTCTCACAGAATAGTCTTCTCACGTATAAAATGTCTCCCCGTGTTTTTATGTGGAAGGGAACTAAAATAACCTGCCAGGTGAGAATCAGGACCAGTAGAGGAAAAACAGCATTGTTGTAAGCCATGTATTCATTTCATAACTATCAATTCATCAGTAAGGCCACTGGTGTTCTGTTCACCTGCAGCCTTGAACCCAAGCAGCTAAAATATCCCGTAAACTAACAGCTACCCAAAATAGGAGTCCTAAGGAAGCAAAAGTGCTACCCCTTCATTATAAAAGAAAGGTTGCAGATTTTGTCCCATCAACAGAATTACTCCTGAAATCAAGGACTAACCAGTATTATAAGGTCCTCACTAGTATTTGATCCAGCCCCTGTTACTATCCTGTATGCCAGAATGCATTAGCCAAGTAGGGCTAGGACTCCAGCCTAAAGCTAAAGAAAATGTTGTGGAAAGAACCCATGGAGATCTTTTAGATCCAACAGATGAAATTAGATAAAAATAAACATATAAATAAAACTACAATCCAGAGAGATTAAGGAACTCAACTAAAATCACCATCAGATGTCCTGCTAGTTGCAAAAGCAAGACTGCAACTCTGGACTCCTAACTAATTCTCAGGCTGAAGCAATGTCCTGAGGGCTTGAGCAGAGCATGAAAGTCACTCCATATGGTGCAACGTGTTCTATTTCATGTAAGAAACAATGTAACTTAAAGCCCTTGAGCAGTGAAGCAGGGTCTAAGGCTTTGTGCTTTACCAATTACAATTTTCTGACAGTGGGGAAGCATAATGTTTCAAAGAGGAAAAGAATCAAAAAGCAACAGAGATACCATCTGCACTCACATTGATCATGGCATTGGATGTTATCCTAAAAAGTGTGGCTCGCTCGTTGACCTGTTTGATCTTTTCATTGCTCTCAGCAGGCAACTTTAGGGACTCTAGCTCACTGAGGGAACGCTGCAGGGCTGTGCCATGCTTGGCTATCAAGTCATTGCACGTGCTCAGGTCCTCCACTTTGCTGGAGAGGGTTCGGAGAGTGTTTTGCAGTTCAGTCTTGTCAGTTTGTGAGACAGACTCTTCATCTCCTGATTCATCTGTAGGGATGCAAAAGTAAGTTATATGACTCCAGAACCAAACCAAGAGTTGAAACCCTACCTACTTTGCCCACAACCAAACCAACACTCATCATGCTGCGTTTTCTATCTGGAGGTTTGCCAATTAGCAGATGATTTCTCTACAGTGTAGTATACACTCAACCGGCGCCAGAAACACGTGAGGCTCTTTTTTTTTGGTACCAAGGATTGAACTCAGGGGCACTTGACTACTGAGCCACATCCCCAGCCCTTTTTTGTATTTTATTTAGAGACAGGGTCTCACTGAATTGCTTAACACCTTTATTTTTGCTGAGTCTGGCTTTGAACTCATGATCCTCCTGCCTCAGCCTCCCAAGCCACTGGAATTACAGGTGTGCACCACCGTGCCAGACCTGAGGCACTTTTTAAAGGCGCAGAGTCTCTGGCCTTATGCCCAGAAACTTTGATTCAGCTGGTGTGAAACATGGACCAGGAAACTGCAGTTCTAATAAGCTACCCAAGTATTTCTGATATACATTGAAGTTGGAGAGCCGCTGACACACAGGAAGCCATACAGAAGCTGAATAGCTCTTGGAATCAGGAATGTATTATTGAGTCTTTAAATTTTAGCTTGGAGTACCAATCCAGTCCTAACCAATTATTATTAAAAATTCACCATTATCTGTTGGGTGAGAGGTGAAATGGGTTGAGAACAAAAGTTATTCATTATGATAAAGTCTATGTCATTAAAAGTGTCATTAAGAATTTCATTAAGGGGCTAAGGGTGTGGATCAGTGGTAGAGCACTTGCCTACCATGTGGTGAGGCACTGGGTTTGATTCTCAGCACCATATATAAATAAATGAATAAAATACAGGCACGGTGGGGCATGCCTGTAATCCCAGCGGCTTGGGAAGCTGAGGGGGGAGGATGGCAAGTTCAAAGCCACCCTCAGCAAAAAAAATGAAGCACATGCAACTCAGTGAGACTCTGTCTCTGAATAAAACACAAATAGGGCTGGGAATGTGGCTCAGTGGCCAAGTACCCCTAAGTTCAATCCCTGGTACCAAAAAAAAAAAGTTTCATTAATTCATCTTTTCTGAAGGAGAGCTCTGGAATCTCATGATGAACTCATTTGATACTAAAACTACTATAAAAGTAATGCAAAGTCTTCTCTGATAATAAGTCAAGGAAAGAAGCTCTGTTGTACCTCTTACTATAGTTTTGTACTTAACACTTTTTAACTGCAAAATGCCTTTCTAGCAGTGTCACTTCCTTTGGGGAAACTAACATCATCACTAAAACTAAAAGAAATAAGATAAGACTTGCCTGTCAGACAGAGAAGCAAAACCAAGATAAAAATACAAAATAAATAAATAAATAAAATTAGAAAACAGTGAATTTTCCTTTCACTGCTTAATAGATATTAAATACAGTAGGGGAAATGACAGACAATAAGATAAATAACAGACAAAACTCTCAGTGAACAAGCTCATTAAACTATCAACATTTCAGCCAGATGCAGTGGCACATGCCTGTAATCCCAGCGCCTTGAAAGGCTGAGGCAGGAGGATTGTGAGTTAGAAGCCAGCCTCAGCAACTTAGCAAGGCCCTAAGCAACTCAGTTTTGAGATTCTGTCTCAAAATAAAATAGAAAAAAGGAGGGGAGGGTGGCTGGGGATATGGTTCAGTGGTTAAGCACCCCTAGGTTCAACTTCCAGTACTATCCCCCACCCCACCCCCCAAAAGCTATCAACATCTCATTGGCAAATTCTACCACTTTCCTTGAAGAAAAATAAAAAATACAACTAGGTTATTCCTTTTAGTTTAATGTTGCAAAATGAAGTCTTTTTTATAGAAAATATATGGTTTTTCATCATCTATAAAAATTGTTTCAACTTAACAAGTAAGACTTCAGGAGAAAAAAGTAGGGGTCAATCCAAATTACAAATTGTAATACTCCTAAGACTGACCTCATAATAAAGTTATTATGTCTCAAAAAGTTAAGGTGGTCAACTGGCATTCTTCTTAGGAGGCTGAGGCACAAGGATCACAAGTTGAAGGCCAGCTTTGGCAACATAATTAAGACTCTGTCTCAAAATAAAAAATAAAAATAAAGAACTGGGGGTATAGTTGAGTGGTAAAGTGCCCCTGGGTTTAATCCCTAGGACCAAAAAGAAAAAAAAGTTTTAAATGTGTGGGTGGGGCACTGGGGATTTAGCTCAGTAGTAGAGCACTTGCCTAGATTATTCATGGCCTGGGATCAATTCCCAGCAGCCCCTGTGCCCTCCTCTCCCCCACACAGAATAAAAACACAAGAATGATGTCTAGTTTTTCAATCTGGGCCAGATTAATTTTTTGTTGTGAAGGACGGTTATGTGCATCGTAGGGAGTTTAGCAGTATCCCTAGCCTCTTCTCTCTAGGTGACAGTAGCATCTCCTTCAGTTGTGACAACTAAAAATATCTCCAGAAATTGCCTGGAGGAGACAGAATTGACCCCAATTGAGAACCACCACTCCTGGAGAAATACTGTATGATGAAAAGTAGCTAGGGACATTTAAGAGAGGTGATAACCAAAGGACAAAACACAATGAGGAACAAAAGATAATGGGGACATATGGAAAGCTTTCCAGGCAAGGTCTTCTTTGCTTCCTACCTGATTCTGCTAGCATCTTCACAGCCTTGGCTTTGGCCAGTTCTAGAGCTGTCACCCAGCGCTGTCGCTCCACTTCTGAGCTAGCCTTCAGATGGTAGGTCTGAGCGCCCCCATTGGAAATGATAAAGTTGCAGGAGTCCTCCACAGTGATGTTGGCTGTGGCGAGGTTAATGGTACCACGGCAGGTATGTCTCATTTCTGCCTTTGACCTGCAAAAGTGAGACAAAAACAAGCTCAAGAAAAAGGTAATGGGTGGATTATCCTTTAACACATTTCATTTCTTTACATAATTCTGAGTCCTTGAAAATATGGTAATCTTAGAAATCTAATTATAGTTCCTGCAAACAACCCCCCTAAAATTCAAGAAACAATATATTGAGAATTTATTTCAGAGCCTTTAAGAATTGTTTCTTAAACAAATTTTATTCTTCCACTGTTCCTCTTGCTGTTAACCTTTTAAAAATAGATATTATTGAGGTATAATTATTTGCAATAGTAATTCAGTAGTCTCAAGTGTACAACTGAGTGAGTTTTGACAAGTGTATACAACTGTATGACCATCACAATCAAAATGTAGAACACTTCCCTCACCTCAAAAAATTCCCTCCTGCCCTTCCACAGTCAGGAGTTACTTTCTACTTAGCAAGTTATAAAGGTTTATATCCCTTGCAACAAAATTTTGTATGACAATCTCATTCCCTAAGAATAGTTCTGTCTTCTATAAACTGAACCATCCCCCTCACTGTAAATCAGCCCAAATCAGAACTGTCACACCATGCTTAGAATTATACTGCAGAAGTGTAAAAAGGCATCTTTAAATGTTTCAATGATTAAATGCTGGCTATAGCTCAAATGATATGAAATAAGAATAATTGCCCATCTGAGAGAGCAAAGAAAGAGTTATTAAAGAATCACAAGACATTTTAATCTTTTTGGAATATGTTCTTTTCTAAGGTCCACAGACTTCTATTGGTAGGAACTCCTAAGCCATCCTATTAATAGCTAGGAAAGATTCAGCAGATCTGCACTGAGGACTGGGTGTAAAAATTTTCCCAGTCTCTACTGACTGACAGTTCTATTAATAGGCTAACTTTTGAACTTTACAGCACTACTTGGTGACAACAAGCCACAAGGCACTTCACATAAAATAACAAGCTTCTAGCACAATTGTGTATACAGAGAAAACTGTGCTAATTTCTTCACCATGCTGGTTATGCCTAGGGACCTGCATGTTCAGACTGCATGCAGTTTTTTCCCTGTCCAACCGGGAACATAAAGAGGTCAAAGTCCTTTGCCAAATGCCACAGTACAAAGCAGAATCATTTCCTCTTCAGTGAAGCCAAGTGGCCAAACACACCTGGCACATCCAGAATTCCTGCATGCCAGAGGTGGCATACGCCCCATTCTCCAGAAACTAAGATTTGGTATGTTGGAAAAAGTGTGTTTACTATGCTTAGGAAGACAGATTTGCTGTCATTTGGTTTGTCACATGAAACATTTTTTTTTTTTTTTTCTCCTCCAATGCACAACTGAGCTGTATGGGATCGCCAGGGGGGTCTCAATGGACTGGGCCATTTTCCATCCTCTGCACCTGCCACACTGTAATGTGAATCCCTGTGTTTTCTATTCTTACCTCCCCACCCCCAAGCTTCAGTTACATTATGAATAATGCAGACCGAATTACAGACACACAGCTGACAGGCTGGCTCACCCTTGCTTTCTCTTCCAAGGGTGCCACTTGGACCTTCTATCACATTCCTCCTTATTGGCACTTTTCACTAACTACTTCCTAGGAATCTCTTTCTGCATGGGTCATCTTCACACACTAAAGAAGTTTCTCAAACAGCATAAAGTATACAACAACTTAAGAGATTGCAAGGAACCCTGGAAATAAGGCAAGCTTGACCTCAAAGCTCTTGAAGTTTAGGTAGATACACCTATGGTTATAAATGACTAGTGAGAATCTAGAAAGATTCTTTTCTCTTGCAAGAAAAGTTTTTAAGGCTGGGGATGTAGCTCAAGCGGTAGCATGCTTGCCTGGCATGTGTGGGGTGCTGGATTCGATCCTTAACACCACATAAAAATAAAAAAATAAAGATATTGTGTCCACCTAAAACTAAAAAATAAATATTAAAAAAAAAAAAGAAAAGTTTTTAAGACACTAAAGTACTGGGTGGTATTTTCTGGCTAGAAACCTCTGCCTTAAAAGGTCAGCTGAAATAGTAATTTAATCTCTTAGAGCTAGTCATGAAAATTAACAGTATAGCCTGTCATGATGCTTCTGGGAGAGCCTGGATTCTATATAAGGTTTTAAGTAATGGACCATCTATGTAACCAGGTATGGAAGGAAGCACAGGATAGGTAAAAAGTGATGGGTCTAGGAAGGACATAATTTCATTTAAAAGGGAAATAATATTTTGCAAAGAGGATACACAAGAAATTGCAGGTTTAAGAGGCATGAAAACAGGAGGAACGACAATTTGGCTAAATAATCCAAAGGGAGACGGGGACCAGAAGTACCCTGTTGTGAAGAATAAATAGCCAATAGTTGGAAAGAAGTACTTCACAGCAAGTTTGAGGGTACTGAAGAGATTTGATAATCTAGATCCTGATGCTTCGTTGGTTTATGGGTGGGGAACATACTAGCTGTTAAGGACAGGCCAATCACATGTTTCTCAATAAGTGAATGAATATGTCTTAAGAGAAGTTTTATTTGCAATTAGGCAGGTACCACTAGCTATCATAGGAGAAATGTTAAAAGTAGTTACAAATACTTGAAAAGATAGTGATCAACACTGATCAAGACTGGTACTGAACAAAGGATCCAGTGACCTGGAAAGCAGATAACATAACTTGGATGAAAAGGAAAGGAAAGACCATATGTTAAGGCCCTTACCTGATGTACAATTTTTTTAAATGGGCAAACAGTATTAATAGTGTTTGATGAATCAAGTCAGGAACATTGAACATTAGAGTAACAGTCACAGTAACCAGAAAACATGAACTTGAGTAGGGGAAAAAACTGGGGCAGAGTAAAATTTTAGACTAAACTGATTATCCTAGATGAGAAGTTAGCAATGGTTATATTAAGATCAATTCTAAATACAATAATGTAGATGATATATACAACTTCACAATTAATGTTTAAGCAGTGAGGAGGAGTTATACGAGGCATCTTACAGATAAGAATGTGTTCTGGCTGGGCATGGTGGCACATACCTATAATCCCAGCAAGTCAGGAGACTAAGGCAGGAGGGCTGTGAGTTCAAAGCCAGCCTCAGCAACTTAGCGAGGCCCTAAGCAACTTAGTGTGACCCCGTCTCTAACTAAAAAATAAAAAGGGCTGGGGATGTTGCTCAGTGGTTAAGCACCTGTGGGTTCAATCCTGATACGAAAAAAAGATGTGTTCTCACCAACAACCTCCAGCTCCCACCTTTAATCTCTTCTTGAAATTCTCAAAAATAAATTGTATGGTTAAAAAAAAAAAAAAGAAAGAAAGAAAAGAAAAAAAAAGAAATTCTCTAAAAGCCAATGTAGTGGAGTTGATGGAAAAGAGATTTGTTCAACTAACTCTCCTGGTAGCAGAATGATTACAGTCAAGGAAAAGGAACACAAAGTGAGTCACTCTTCAACAGCAGTGTTTTGGGTCCCAAACAGAATGGTCTTTAGGAAAATGTTCACTGAGAAATGCCAGTTTATTGAGCAAAGTCTCCTGTAAAACACACTTTTTGTATAAAGTATATACAGTAACCATAATCCATACTTACTTGCTTTAGATAAGTAATTTACCTCTGTATCTGACTGATTTGTGTAACACTAACCTGGGTTTTAGGTTATGTTGGTGCGAACAGAATTAGTTTCAAATCCTGACTCCTCCAAGACCTTGGGAAAGTTGCCCACGCTGAATCTCAGTTTTCTCATTAGAAAGATGGGAATATCGTATAACTCCCACAGGTTTTTGCTGGGAGTCAATCAAATACTATACCTAAAACACCCAGCCTCAATGTCCAGCCTTTGGGGAATATTTGTATCCTGTCTCCAAATCAACACCTTTATACATAGTAATATGAGAAGCCCAATAGCATGTTATGACCACGTTCTGAGTCACTGAGGATAAGTATATATTAACTACTCCAAAATAAACAATGTTGAACAGAAATAATCATACCAAAGACATGGATTCTTATTTTAATAAAACATAATTCTAACTAACCAAAAAGATCACAGAAGTGTTGGATACAACAAACATTTCCACGGGAGGGGGTGGGGCAAACAAAAATAAGAGCAAAGCAAGAGGGCACATCTCCAGTCTGGGCTGTCCAGAAGGTGAAAGTATGCATAAGTCTTGGAGAGATAAGAAAGGCAAGGGGCAGAATCCTGAGGACACCTTGTGTATGGTGTCTTGGTGCCTGACTGTGGAGAGATTAAGGTCGGGTACATCAAGGGCTACGAATAACCTTGAATTTTAGAGACTGAGCATAAATAACTAAGACTTTGGGACTTTCACTGTTAAGTTCTTTGAGAGCAGTGCTTAGGCTTTGCTCTTCTATGTGTCCCTTAGCGCCTACAACAGTGCCTTGCTGGGACAATTAATAATCCCACCCATGTGGTGGTGGAAACACAATGGAAGAACAGATGCTCTCCAAACAATTAATGATGGAAAGGCCAGGGAAGGAGAGATATGGCATCAACGGGGGGTAACAGGGGACGGGTGCGGGTACAAGTCCTGGGGCTTTCAATTTCGTGGAAGTGGACTTCTGTCACCGGCTGTCAATTTGCGCAAGTGACAGAAAAGGGCCTGGGGCGACCTTGGCTGCCGTGCCTGCTGGTGAGGGCGCCGGGCGCCAGGGCTGTGGGCTACGGTGGGGGAGGCAAGGTGAGTGTCGGCGCCCCGGAAGCAGTTACCTGTAGTAGCTCAAAAGCCCGTTGCTCAGCACGAACCACCGCCGCTGATAGCCTTTGATATAATTGGTCCATTTGAAGAGCCAGCCCTCTCGAGCCGAGCCCGAACCCCCAGCGCCCGAGCCGCCCGAGCCCCCAGCCGGCGGCGCAGGGGTTGGGCCAGCCGTCGCCACTCCCCCGGCCCCCGGGCCCTGGCCGCCCGCAGCTGCCGTGGCCACCGTCCCTGACGCGACCCCGGAGCCGGGCCCCGCGTCTCCGCGGCCGCCGCCTCCTCCCACCACTGGGGGACCTGCGCCGCCGCCGCCAGGAGCTGCAATGGCTGCCGGGCCCGGCCCCACCACTCCTCTCAGCTCGGTCGCCGCCATGAGCCGCCGCCGCCCCGAGATACAGGACCGGAACCTCCTACGAGAGCCGCCGCTGCCGCCGCCGCCGCCGCCGCCCCGAGCGCCCCACACGGCTAGCGCATCAGCCGCCGCCGCGCAGCGTCCCCGCCCCGCCAGGCCCGCCGGAGGAAGGAGGGCTCGGTGACCGGGGTGGAGGACGTCGATTGGTGCCGCGGAGTGTCACTTGTGGAAGACCCCGCGGACATTGGCATTTCTCTCGGGCCTGTCATTCTACTCCGCCCAGTGAGAGCCCAGGGTGGGACGCGTCCACACGCTCCGCCTTTGATTGGCTCAGATGAAGGCCAATCAGATGCATGTACAACCTCATTGGCGCTTTTCTGAAGTCTCTAGCGCTCTGGGAGGACGGGGGAATGCAGAGTGCCGGCCAGTTTGGTTGCCGATTGGCTAGTGTTTCCGCCGCTCATTTCAGTTTATGCTTCTGTCACCGCCACGTCACCACCTCCCATCACTCTTCTCATCGTCCTCTTCCGCTCTTACGGATTGGTGGTTGGTATCAGCCGCTCAACCCTTTCTACCATTTACTGATCGCTTGAGCCTGGGAGGAGGAGCCTTTCGTCACATTCTTTTTTTTCATTTCTTATTGGTTAGCGTCTATGTCACTCACGTGTCGACGGAGAGGCGGGGCGATTCGTGGAGATGATTGGTTCCGGGAATTGTCTGTGAAAGCAGGAGCTTGGGAATACTGACCAATGAAAGAGATTTTCATGAGAGAGGGGCAGACTGGGACAACCAATAAAATCCGGGAAGAGTGATTTGGGGGCGTGCCTGCCTGCTTCCAGCTTTAGGGAAGTTGGTGGAGACGACAGCTAGTTGGTTCCTCTTGTTGTTTGATGTGGGCGCGATGTCGAATTTCTTCTTTATGAATTAAGTCCTCCATAATGTCTTTTTAGGAAGAGGTGATCCGACAGATAGCGACTCTTGGCGATCAGGCCCCTCCTGAGTCCTCCTAAAGGGCCCGCTTCGCTCTCAGAGCTGGAAACCCAGCTTCGGGGTGGGGGTGGGGGAGCAGAAATAATTTCCACAGGCCCCTGCTGGATCCACGATCCCTTTAATTTCCTTTCCTGGTTCGCTTAGCATCGCACCACACTCCTTATCATTTGATTCGAGACTGTCACATGCCTCTATTAACTCTGCCCCCACGAGTTGCTGACCTAGCTTTGGGGGCAAATAGATTTGCAGGATCTAACTTTATGTCTCTTTCAGGCCTAAAGATCCTTGGTGTTAGCATCACAAATACGCATGTATGTGCTTAACTTTAGACAGAAATTCGTTACTTTTGATCAATTGACTTTGTTTACAGGTTACAAAAATACAAATTAAGCAACTAGTGTATCATTTAAATATTCTGAACTATTGTTACGAATGTTGTCAAAAGCGTGATATTTTGGGGAATCCAGCACCTGTTACACTTTGCCAGTTGAGTGGGCAATAGAAATAGCTTTGAGAGCCTGTAAAAACAAATTTCAAGAAAGTAAAGAAAAACTCCCTTTTTTAGAAAATGGCTTCAAAAGGAGAGAAATACTTATTGAAGTATGGAGAAATAATGCTCTAAAAATATTCAGCATAGACTATTGGAGATGATGATGATGATGATGATGATGATGATGATGATGATTTGTTGTGCTGGGGTTTTGTGGTGCATGCAAGGCAAGCACTGTACCAATTGAGCTATACCCCTAGTCCCAGAGATTAAGTTTTTAAGTGAACTAAAGTTAACTTATTTATTTTTGAGTCCTTTCTTTGCTATTTATTAACTCTAAGACCTTGGAAGAATCATTTAAGCATTCCAAGGCTAAATTTTTACTTCTAAAAGAAATGAAACCTGAGAGGGATGCTATTGTGATTAAATGCACTTGAATGGGTTGATAAATTGCAAACAACTACAAAAATATGAGTTATGTTGCCAAGCATCCCTCAGGTCACTTAGTGATCACAAAGAAGAAACACATACTTTTATATCAGGTGGATTGGGCTGTCCCCTCCTTAAACCAGGTATCCAATTTAGCATCACTAACACACCAACAGTTTTAGGAGGTCCCTAGTATGCTCCAGCATGAAATATACATCACAAATTAATGAAGTTTCCTTGCCAGAAATGTTGAAGTTGAATCTAATCAGACCTTTAGATCTAACCTCCAATTTACAGGGATTGAAAAACCAGTTAGACATACCCCCAAGGAGACAATCAGTTAAATCAAGAGTGTAAAGCATTCTATAAGACAACTGTTTTATAGAAGATAAGACATAAAGACTATGGATAATCAATATCAAACAAAAGAGTCAGGGGTCATTGTTCTGAATTACAAAACAAGAACACCATCAAATGCTTCATTGGATTCTGGTTCTGCAAAAAATTACCTTTCTGATCCTGATGGGACATGGGAAAATTTGAAAATATATTTGTAATAGATGTTGCTAGGCAGTTCTTACATTTGCTCAGCATAATGGTACAGTAGATAGGAAAGCAAACATCAAAAATTTGGAAAAATTTGCTAAATATTTAGGAGTGAAGAATTATATTGTCTGCAATTTCCTTTGAAACGATTTAACAAAAAAAAAGAAAAAGGAAGTCACCCAAAACTAGTAATATGTATATATTTTAAAAGTATATATACATATATATGTATATGAGTACATACATATATTTAAAATGCATATACATGTACACACACACACACACACACACACACACACCCCTCTATCTATGGATCAAGCAACATGTAGATTCATCAATGCTAACAAATATGCTGCTCTAGATAACAAACGTGCCAACATGGTAAAATGTTGTTAAATCTAGGTGGCAAATATATGAATGTTTATTGTACTATTATTTCAACTTTTATTGTGTATTTGAAAATATTTTTAAAAGGTTTTAAAAGGCTAGTCATTACCCAACACTGCCTCTAGAACAGGGTCCAGAATTCTTAGCCTGGCCAATGAACTCTTTGGCAATCTAGTGCTACCTCTGCTTTCCAATCTTTTTGTTTTAGTCTTGATGTACTCCATGTTCCAGTTCAATCGATCCACCCACTTTGTCCACATCTGCCCTATGCTTCCTTAGAGTGCCTTTGTATAGGCTTTCCCTCCATTCAGCACCCAGTACAATGTTATCTGTCAACAGAGTCTCTTGTGATTCACATGCTATAAGACATGTCCCTTCCTCAGGACTGATAGTGTTTCCTGTGATGTTAATTGCCTTAAATGTTTATGTTTCAGTCAGATCTCCTCTATTGGAGGGTGAATTCCTCCAACATGTGATCTGTATCCATTTCATGTTTGGTTCACCCACCACAGTTAGGACACAGTCTGGTATATTCACACATTTAACAATATTTATTGCATGTGTATTACCATTCTTAGGCCTAAGCCACGTGCTGGGAACATAGTAGTAGATGTACTAATGGACTTTGCTTCCTCATAAGAAAAGGATTTTAGGGATCTTCTCCCTGGCCTCCTCTTCCCCTACTCTGCTCTGCTTCCTGGCTGCCATGAGCTGAGCAGCTTTCCTCCACCATGCCCTTCCACCATAACATTCTGCCTTGTCTCAGGCCCAGAGCAATGGAGCTCATTGAACATGGACTTAAGCCTCTGAAATAAATGAGCCAAAATAAATCTTTCCTCCTGTAAGTTGTTCTTGTCAGATACTTTGGTCAAATTGATGAAAAGCTGATTAACATATCCATCAACAAATATTGTTTCCCCCCCACACACACATTAATGGACCTTGACAACAGTGACCATACTTGCATGCCAGAAATGCAGTTCAAATACACATGCCAGGGCTGGGGATGTGGCTCAAGTGTAGCGTGCTCGCCTGGCATGTGCAGGGCGCTGAGTTTGATCCGCAGCACCACATAAAAATAAAAAGATGTGACCACTGAAAACTAAAAAATATTAAAAAATTCTCTCTCTCAAAAAAAAAAAAATATATATATATATAAATGTCAGGGGCTGGGATTGTAGCTCAGTCATGAGTCCTAGGGTTTGATGCCCAGCACCATTAAAAAAGATAGGGCTTTTAGAGACAGGTATTAAATAGAAGCATGAATGAATATGCACAGTATTTGAAGAAAATATGTTCAGTAATTACATACATATATACATATATATTTTATGTATATATACATAAAATGGAGGGTAACCAAGAATAGAATAACATGTGTAACCCGTCTCTTTAAAAAGACAGTCTCTTTAAACTGTGATCTGGGGGCTGAGGAGGAGTTTTCCAAGGACAGAATGGAGATAGGCCCAGAGTGAAGGCCCAGGGGGGTGAAAGGCAGTCCACTGAGGTGGGACATCAGGCAAAAACCCTCCTAAGAAGTTTGGTTTTTTATTCTCAGTGCAATGGGGAGCAATTGGAGATTTAGGCAAGTGACCCCAATTTTTGTGTTAAATGATCACTGGTGGTTGTATGGAGTCACCAGAGTGGAGAGGAGGCTATAATTAAGAAGCTTCAGCCATCTTTCAGAAGAGAAGTACTGGTAACTAGATTGAATGTGAGATCTACAGAAATGGGAGATAAGCACATTCCGGATTAATTTTGGAGATGGAACTGATAGAACTGAGCACATGGTATTCAGTCAATGTTTAGTGTATGAAATAATGCAAAATTTTGAAAATGATGTGTGATTTTTCTCATGGAATCATTTTCTTCATCCTGTATCCAGTTAGTAACCAAAACCTGGATGATCTTTTGTGTACCCTTTTCTTTATAGGTCCAGGCACTTGTGTTTTATTCCTGTTTTTAAGCAAGTCTGTCTACAGTCCATCTTCCACAATTCTCCTCACAGAACAGCTGCCAGAGGATCTTCCTAAAATAGTCTGTTTTTTACCCAAGTACCTTGTTCAGTAATCCTCAACGGCACCCTTTCGTCTATAGGATAAAGTCCCAGTAACTCACTTTGCCATCTTAGGCTCTTCGCTACAAGGTCATAACCTTCCTTCCTGTTCCATTTTCACCATTCTATTTAGTCCAGAATGGTTTACCTGCCAAATTCCAGTGCTTTGGACATTTCTGCTTTTCTGATTTTTTTTGACATACCCATTTTTTAAAGAACAATTTTAGAGTCCCAGAAAAATCGAGCCAAAATTATCAAGTTTCCATGCATGGTCCCCAAACCCCTGCTATTTATAGCAGCACAGTTTGTTAACATTGATGAACTTACAGTGAAACACAATTATCTAAAGCCCATAGTTTACATTGGGGTTCATCCTATGGGTTTTGACAATGTACAATAATATGTATGAACCGTTATAATATCATTCGGAATAGTTTTATGGCTCTGCCTTTTCACTCTTCTTCCCCCTTACCCTTAGCAACTACCAATCTTTTTACTTTCACCATAGTTTTTGCCTTTTTCATGAATGTCACATAGTTGGAATCACACAACATCTAACCTTTTCAGATTGACTTCTTTAACTTAGTAATATGTATTTATGTTTCTACCATGTCTTT